TAGTCAAGTTCCTTAGTCCTGCACAACACTTTCGTCAACGGCACCTCTTTCACTACACACGTTGTGGAACACCAGTCCGCGTCGCTTTTTGAAGCGATCGAACCACCCTTTTGACACATTGAAAAATTCAATGTTCACGGTCAGTCCAAACTTCTTTGCTTGTGCGCAGATAAGGGGGCTGCTGAAAGGCAAACGCGCATAGCGCAAAACGGCAATCCAGCGCAACAGCGCTTCTTCTAGCTTGGGGTGTGCTGCCATTCGAAGCCTCTTCCTCTTATCTTTGCCATCATACACTTGCATAATTTGGTCTTTGTTTTCAACGTAACTGCTCAGCCTGCTTTTATTCACGTTAAACTTCTCCATGACTTCTTTTCAAGATGTTCCCACTTGCAATGCCTTCAGTATTTTCACCTTCGCAGCCAAATCTATTGCTTCGTACTTCCCCCTTTTCGCTGCAGGAACTGGTGCGACTAGGGTCGCAGGAGGCGCAGGGGAGCCATCCTGGTGTTGCTTGGGCAGTGGTGATGCATGTGCACACGAAGTAAAGAACGAGCTTGGTGATAAAAAACAGTGAAAGCACAGTGACAAAAATGAAATAAAGAAAGCCCACAAACTTTTCAAAACAAACAAACAATAAGGCTGCAGATGGCACTGATCACGCACAAAGATATATCGTTTAAAAGCAACGACACAGTACAGGTGAACAATCCCACTCAGCCATCACTCACACGTGTTAGATGCACAAGAAAAAAGGAGAGGCAAATCCGTCGGTTGCCTGTTGCTGATGACAGCAGTGATGCACTGCCTTTCATTTTGGTTGTAAACCAGCGCCATTTGGGATTTTTTTTTTTTTGAGGGGGGGGGTGCCTCTGAGATGCATAGCTAACTCCTACCCATGAAGGAAGTTACGAATTTCGGAGGCTAAAGTCCGATCACGAAGTTGTTTAGGCGCACTGGCGATTTGGCCGGCAAAATCCACTGTTGCTTCTCGTCCGACTGCGGTCGGGAGTTCGAATGAACCGGAGCATGGCTTAATCTGTCCGAATTAGTTTTCAGTCGTAGAACAATGTACATATTAATTGGAACCAGACGCCGTGGCCAAATTAACCAAAATTCTAAATTAATATGGTCAAATTCAGGAGATTTTACAGTAGCTTCTATTTAATTCTGTGCTTGAATATTTTAAAAATTGTGTAAAATTTGAAGCAAGTGTCCCCCCTCTTCCCTACAGTGAAAGGTAATCTTGCAAGATTCGGAGGAAGGCCCTAGTTTGGCCACATATCAAAATTCAATGTAGGGGAAAGAAGAGCCACTAAATATAGAGATTACACACATATGGTTCTAGTGAATTGCTATATTGAATAGACATGCGTTCATTGTTGATACTTACCCTCATCTGGCGAATCAAACCATTGAATGACTCATTGAAAATGGCAGGAGAACGAGGCCGTTTGCCAAAGTTATTGTTGCATATTTTAAGTACACCAAAAATAGAGAGGCCACTCACTCTGCATTCTATGGTATTCGAAGTACCCAATACTTAATACATTTCAGATTATCAACGCTTATGGAGAGACTCCTAAAAAACATTATATTGCAAAATTGAAGGAGCACATATTTCTTGTTTAAATTATTGAACTACCAAGAAACATGCAGCATAAGCTCTTACAAGACTATTGATGCTGTACTAATACAGATGAAGGTGATTCTTCTAGAAGCTCCAGTGTCATTTTAAAGTGAAGGCATTTTCAATCTGCAACATGCTTGTCATGAGATTCGTGACATTAGTTCATCAGAAACAGTTGAATTTTTATGTCTCAGTTTAATTCAAAATGTAGTGACAAAAGACCATCTCGAATTCTGAAGTAACCGCTGTATTTCATTGTGCCATAGCAAAATATTTCGTAGGGTGTCATTGCTTATATAAGCTTAACTTAGTTTACATAACTGTAATGTTTTTTGTCGGTTAATGTTAATTGTAATGATTTTTGGTAGTGTTTGTTCCAAATAAAATATTTTTCAATTCTACGTTTTAAAAATGGCTGCATTACTATTTGAAAGTTATTCAAATAGTTTCAATTTTAATTCATTTTCAATTATATTTACTATTCGCATTCATTGAGTTAACCACTCTGTTATTCTACATTACAAGTTATGGCCAGCTCAGTTTTTTGAAATCAAAAATATTGAGCATAGTTTCAGAGATCCATTATCGAATTTCTAGACCGCAATGCAAAGTAAACTGAAACTGAACGCACCGGGTGCGCCGAAGGCAGTCCTTGTGCTCCTTATGGCTAACTTCCCTTAGGGTAACAGCAGCGAGACGTGAAGGCAATCTGGCTCTGTTTCGTGTGAACTTGTACTTATGCACTTTGACCATCGCGCAGATGTCATCTACATTCCAGCGCTCATAAAGCTAATTTATCTTCTCGCGTGAGGGGTATACACCACAGCTGGTACCATGCTAGAATACCGGGAACCGGCCATCGCGAGTATGAGATATGAAAAGCCCTAATATTCGAGTGTTGCACCTTTCGGGAATTCAAATTTTGAATAATCAGATAACTGGTGCACATCATGCGCGAAGGACTATTGGTCAGCATGCTCTGCTAGAATGACACAATGTTTTTCTCACGATGCGTCATCATTCCGGTTACACATGAACACCCGGTGCGTTCAGCCTAGGTTTCTCCCTCATCACAGTCTGGAAATTCGACGATGGATCCCTGAAACTACGCGCAATACTTCTGATATTCAGAAACTGGGCTAGCCATAACTGGTGATGTAGGACAAATTAGCCATATAAACAACCACCTTAGTATTGACAGTGATGGAAGTGCTGCTGCAATTGCTCCTAACTGCTCCAAAAGAAAATTGTAGCTCCATGCTGCTCCAAACAGTAATTTTTGTTAGTAATTGCTTCAAACTCACTCAGAAATGGTACTGAAAGAATGAGAACGACAAGCTTTTGCTGTTTAACCAGCTCATAACTCCTAAAGAAACCGAAAAGAATCTGCGTATCATCCCAGTGTGTTACTTGTGTACAGCATTATCGGCTGTCATCTCATTTGTGGGACAAAAATTAACATATTAAGCATATAGCTCATTTGGCTGGTTTTTACTTTTTTTTTTATCGGCTAGACACGCAGGGTGATGTGGTGAAATGTGAAAATGTGAGGATTACTTTTATCTCATACCGATTATTTACTGCTTATTTGGCAACATTTATATGAAACTGTGGTTACATCTAAAATGCGGCGCTCAAATTTTTCGTTTTGATTCGGTATATGCCACAAATGCTAGTACTTTAAATTGTAGCTCATTCCGCAGCATATTTGTGACAACCTGTCATTCATTGCTACAGGAAATTTATATTGATTGTTGTCTACTGAATACATTTCATAAGAGATATTAATATTTGTGAGGTGCTTTGACAATGCTCTGAACTTCAATTAATGTATGGCAAATTTATTATCTGCTCCCTAAAACGAGAATAGTTGCTATATACTAGCATTTTTTTTCTGCTCCAAAAACACCAAAGGCTGCTCCAAAACAGTACTTTTTCTGCTCCAATCTGTTGTCCAAAAGTAAAAAGGGACTTCTATCACTGTATTGATAATAAAAAAGTTATTTGAGATATTTTTCTTTATTATTCATTTTTGAGTGATATAATCAGTGGCAAACTCTTTCTGCCTCAGCCTAGAAATTTTCTTCGAAGACGGCAAAGTGCCCGACTATTGTAGTTTTTGAAGGGAAAATCTGGATTTCTTGAAAGAAACACTGTATATGTTGCTGAAGGTTGGGTTTCTATCACAGAGTGAGAAAAATCGTTTAGTTTTTGACACTCCGCCCCACGGCTCAGTTTGAGCATGAAGAAAAGCGACGACAGCAAAGATGGGGAACAGAATGAGCTCTCATTCTGTTGCCTGTGTTGCCCCTTTTCTTCATAATGCACCATAATGCACCAATTGGCCCAATCTGGGGTACTAAAAATCTGCATCTGCCTTGTTGCACTCGGCTCCTAAAGACCCCCACATCACAGGCTGCAGTCGGTGCATTTACTGTGGTAGAACGCATTCTTCGTCGTGTTGGGTGGAAAGTCATTATTATCATCAGCCTAACTAAGTCCACAGCAGGGCAATAACCTTTCCCATATTCCGCCAATCAACCCGGTCCTGTGCTTTCTGCTGCCACGTTATAGCTGTGAACTTCTTAATGTTATCTGCCTACTGCCTCCCCTATGCATGTTTGCCTTCTCTTGGAATCCAGTAAGTTACCCTTAATTACCCACAGTGATCCTGCCTACGCACTACATGCCTGGTCCATGTCCATTTGCTCTTCTTGATTTTTTCAACTATTATATCCTTAAGCCCCGTTTCTTACTGGACCCATCCTGCTCTCTTCCTGTCTCTTTAAGGTTACACCTATCAATTTTCTTTCAATCGCTCGCCGCATTGTCCTCAATTTTAATTCTCTTTGTGGGTGGAGAGTGTGAACTCCTAAATTATTTTTCTCATATCATGGTATCAGTATACACCGTTTCACAGACCCGCCGCCATAGTTCTTTCTGGGCTGCTCTAAAGAAGTGTGCCCCCCTCCAAAAAAAAAAAAGCACTGCCCAGGTTGTGACATACGTTTTTGTACTCCTGTGCACATCCCAGCATGGCGGCGTTCTTTTTTTCCTATGAAAGGGTCTATAGCAAAACTAAGTTCTGATTTAACTGACTTAATCAAATCTAGCTGCTTTTGGGGCATGATCATGCATTTTAAAATTAAAAAAAGATGTTTTTTCGGTATTTTTTCCCTACTAACTTTATGTTTATTGCAACTGTAGTGTTTCCACACAATAATGTTAAAAAAAATAAAGCTCTAATGAATTCTCATCTCCATAAAAAGCGATTTGCAGCTCAGTTCTTGCTTCGTCCCGATATTGCCACGTGTGTCTTTGTGCTTGGAACCCTTTCCATGTTTATTTAGTTCATTCCTACTGCCACCCACAGATGGAGTGTCTGAGATTGGGCATGGCAGCCGCTGGCAAAGCCATTCAGCGCATGCACCCACACCTGATGTACAAGCTGATGACTCGCGTGCGCGACGCCTTCCTCGAAGATGGAACGACGGTGCGCGTGCGCGGGATCCTGCTTGAAGTGATCGAGCTGCACGGTTCGGAGTGGCAGCTGACGCCCGCCCAGCAGATGTATTACTATCCCAGCAGGCCTGTCCAGCGTCGTGAATGAACACCCCTGTCGCAGCATTCAGAGATCCCCATTCAAGCTAGTCATTTGTCTGAAAGAATCACCCAGAATGAGCTTCTTGAGTTGACTGCAGACATTTAATTTTACACACATTTTTTTCTTTGTGACAGAGATTAGTTTAGAGTCACAGCTTTGGGAACTGGAAATACAATATTCTGTCTAAATAGTTCATTTTACATCGTATTTCATCAAAAATGTGCTGCTGCAGCTGGTTACCTAGGCCGTCTCTCGTTGCAGCGTGATGCAGAAGTAGTATTACTTCTAGTCACAGAGGAACTGCTAAAAAGGAGCGATACAGTTAACTGTGTCATTGAAAGGGACTTATTAGTGTGAATTGCAGAACTTATACACCAAACAGTACAACACATACCTTATTATAGTTATCTAGTGTTTATTGCGTATCAGCTTGGAACTCGCTGGTTTGTAGATAACGTGTCTTTACACAATAATTAGTATGATCGAGTGCCCAAGCATACATAATATTGAACTGCTCATAGCTGAATCGCTTACGTGCACACAATATTGTACTGAAACGAAATGTCAGTCATCCAAAGCAATCAGAAACAGACATTTTCTCTGTACGTGAAATGTTTCATCGTAGTATGTGCAGGAATTTTCCGAAGACTGTGGCTAAAACCGTTTCAACAATTTCACTTTCATTGACAACAGCTGCTATATCAGCGGGCCAAAAATGTGGAATTATTTGTTTGTTGTGTTTGTTGCGTTGTCAAGTTTTCACAGCAGAAGGTATCCCGGTCTATGTTATGCACCGAGTTCTGGTGACACCACCTTATTTGCCTCAAAATTTGAGCAAAGCTCCACATTTTGTCATTTTCAGTTATAATTGACAAGCTAGTTTTATTTCTTTTTTGATTGTATAAAGCTATCTTTTCTTATTGAATTATCTAGGTTTTATGAAATTTACATTTGACTACTCGTGAAAATGGCAACATCATTTACAAGTGTGAAGGATGGCACGCACGGGTGTAGTCTTTAAAGCGATGTAAGCCTTTGGTCTGCAATTATATTTACTGCTGAATAAAGTTCCTTTGATGCAGATTTTGTGGTGTGCTTAATTTTTGTGTTTTTTATCTTTTTGTATGTGTCACAAGCAATGTCTGTGCATGAATGTACATAAATTAATGCTTTTTATATGCTGTCAAATTTCCACATAGTGATCATGCTCATAATTATTATAATGGTATATAAAAAATACATATATAATATTGTTTACTGTTAAAGTGGCTTAATTGCATTACTGTAATAGCTCTTCTTTTGGGAACGTTTCCCCTAGATACAGTGATATTCTCTTTTCGTGAAATCAGTTTCATGCATTTCTTTTTCGTAGTGGCAGATTCACTTGAATAGTGCGTGGCTGTTATTTCTTTTTGGCATCGTAAAAGTAGCGCTATGCCTCATCACTTCTGACAACCCTGGAAAGAAAGATTCACTCGCTCTGGAGCGATTCTTTCAAGACGGAGCATGCTTTTAACTCGGCGATATTTTTGTTCGTTCCTTGCAATTAAGGGCAAATAATTCTCTTTTCATCCTCAGATCTTCTATGAAAATTCACTGAACTGAGCTACGAGATATACCACGTAATTTTGAAGCTCTTCAGTGGTCTATCCACTGCTCTCAAGCTGATGTGCGCAAAATTTTCCCAACATTTTTGTTCATTCGTTAAATTGACGGGCACCCAGAACTAGACTTGCTATGTGTGGACATTTCTTGCTTTTTCTATAACGAGAAAAGTGCACATACCCGGGAGTTTTTCCCATAGCAACATCCTCGTGAGCGGTGCTTGACATTTGAGCACTTTGTGAGGCAACTGTTCAGAGCAAGAAACACAGTAAGGGCCACGAGTTTTTCGCTTCAGTCGGCCGTGACAGAAATGTGGTGCATGTGAAACTGATTTCCCCAAAGAAACACTGTGCCCAGAGAAAACCTCCCCGGTAGGAGCCTCTGGATGCTGTCAACTCGACGAGAGTTGTGCAGCGCTCACCCAACTAGAAAAATATGCGCTATGACGGCACTACCCAGCACACTGCTATTTCAGTTAATTTTTGGTGACCCCTCATGCATAACGGGAAACGCAACATAGCTGGCGTGATGCATCGAACAGCATGCATAGTTCATAATAAAAGAAAGGCAACAAAAAGAAACAAGTTGGAAAATGAATGCATCGTGAATCAATAAAAAGGACTGCCAGCCTGTGTGAGAACAGAATGACAAATAACAAAGATCACTGGCGGCGCTGCAGGAAACCTTCCTGTGGATCCTAAAAAGCAGATGCCATTTTCCATGGGTCATAGGGCATAGCAGCTGTGTCGATATGAAGCATACTAATCTGTCTTCACCGTTCAGGTAAGCAAACGTTACGATACATGTATCCGCTCAAAGAACCCTTGCTTGATCCTGCTGCCGTGCCCATGGCTATTGTGTGAAATAATCTGTGAAAAGTCGTCTTTCCTGTCAAGGTTGTTATTGCATTCTAGGGATGTAGAAACTAACCCGAGACCTGACTTATCCCAGCTTTCGAAGCAAATCCAGCAGCTCGGTGAAGACATTAAAGAAATAAAAAAATCCCCGACTCGCTTTCATTGAAGATAAACTAGATCAAGTGACAGTTCTTGAAGGAAAAATTGCCTGTTGTACGAACCTTTTCAGTAGACTGCAAGAATCTATTACAGCTATGGAACGCAAGTTAGACGAGTTAGACAGCCTTTCTAGATGGTCAAACTTAATTGTCTACGGATTCCCAGAGGACGGCGAAGGCAATCAAAAAGATTTTGATGCTGAAATCAACAAAAAAATCCTTTAAAACGGTCCTAAACTGGAGCCGGTGGCCATAGAATGAATTCATAGATTAGGTAAAACAGCCACAAACAAGATGCGACCTGTGATATTGAAACTCCTAGATTTCCGTGACAAAAATAAAATTCTGCAAAATTGCTCCAAACTTAAGGAATCGTCGTTTGCGATTGGACAGGACTTTTTACCTCGGGTTCGCGAAATCGGGCGACATATATGGAATGCAGCTAAAATAAAAAGAGCAACTGGCGATAAGGTTTCTCTGGTATTTGACAAACTAAAAATCAACAATGATTTATTTAGCTGGGATGAGGATTCGAATTGCATTCAACCGGCTTTCTGCAGTTCCCATAAAAAAAAAAACGCCGAAGCAGAAATGTGGACCATGCATCCTCGTAACAACACCCCCAGGCAAGAAATAAAGTTTGCTAATATACATGCGCGCAGCATCCAACAAAAACTAAACTGGTTGGAATCCTTTTTACTTAGTTTTAAACCAGACTTTGTCGCCTTAACAGAAACATGGCTAACGAGTGATCTTAAAGACTTCGAGATAACGCCGCCAAACTGCGCACTTTTACGCAAAGATGGAAATACACATGGCAGAGGCGTAGCTATCCTAATAAACAAAGATATCCCTTTCACGCCCCTTCCGGATGTTGAAGGGGTTGAAGCTATCTTTTGCAAAATACACTTTGTATCCTGCCATGTCGTTGTCGGCTGCGTGTATTGAAGTCTTTCATCAAGCAGTGAAGTTTTAACATCATTATGCACCTACCTTTGCCGCTTTGCTATTGGAACCAGACTAATCTTGGTAGGCAATTATCTACCAGATATCAACTGGCACACATTGCAACATCACTGCACCTCGTCTGATATAACTTTTGACATCATGTTGGCCCTCAATACGCATCAAATCGTGAAACAAGCTACTCGTGTACAAGCAATTCTGTAAACATACTTGACCTAGTTTTCTTGACGTATCATGTTCCTCCAGATATAGTCCATGTCGAACTACTAGATGGTATATCATATTGCCATATATAGCGACGTGACAAAATTACCATGTAGTGGCTTGTTCGATCCCAGTTCATGGACCTGTAACACCTTCCAAGTCGCTTGTCACTTATCTTGATTTCAAAAATGCCGATGATTCCATTGATTTATATGTGGGGTTTAATGTCCCAAAACCACCATATGATTATGAGAGACGCCGTAGTGGAGGGCTCCAGAAAATTTGACCACCTGGGGTTCTTTAACGTGCACCCAAATCTGAGCATACGGGCCTACAACATTTCCGCCTCCATCGGAAATGCAGCTGCCGAGTACCTTAGCCACTAGACCACAGCGGAGGGGCACCGATGATTCTAGAATAGTCACTTATATTTCCTGCGAATATTATTCTTTTGAAGAGATAGCTAATAATCCTGGATTAGACATAAAATTACTATGACAGAGATTCAAAACTATTGTATTCTTTTTTATAAATAATTTCATACCTAGTAAAATAAAAAGAAACAAAAAAGCACAACCCTTGAATAAACCATGAAACTATACACGCCAAATGCAAAGCAAAACGACTCAGAAAAATGTTAAAAAAGAAACCAAACCATGAAACTCGCTTATCGCTCACTTCAGCTATCACTTTTGTGAAATCGAAAATAAAGGCCGGAAAATCGTTTTATCTCTCTAATACCCTAACGAACTTTCTAAAAATTCACCCTAAATGTTTTGGAATTATCTTAGCCCTAAAAGCCAAGAAGAGGATTCCATGTCTCAATAAGGAATTAAAGAAAAAGCCAACTTAATGAACAACTACTTTAAGTCAATTTTCACTGATGACGATGGGATCCCTCGCCATATTTACTCCCACAATTCGGATAGAATAGATGACATTTCCTTAAACAAAACAGGAATCCTTAATTCATTGTTGAAATTGGACTGTAAAAAGAAAGCCAGACCTGATGACATACCTAATGAATTTTAAGACGGTATGCTGAATGGATGGCAAAATATTTATTCCTAATATTTGGGAAATCATTAACAACTTGTGCTCTTCCAAGCAAATGGAAAACTGCTAAAGTAATGCCTGTTTTCAAAGGAGGTAACAAAATTGATGCTTCCAACTTGCGTCCTGTTTCGCTGACCAGCACAACATGCAAGTTGCTTGG